CTCCGCTCTGACCTGGGTAGGAGTCGAGTCATCCAGAGGGGCCCTCTTTATAGCGGTTCCAGGGCGCGAAAGTGAATCTGTGCCATTGGCCAAAAGTTACAGCCGGTTCACTTCAACCAATGGGATCCTGGTTCTGAAACACACTTATTTTGACTGGACGACATTCATGTGACGTTTCCAGGAGTTACCGCCAGTCAGACACGACTTTACTCACCGGCTCCTTTAAGAGGCTGGGAACCCAGAGGACGCTCGCAGCTTTCCAAGCGTTCTTCCCATTATTTAGCAGTTTGTTCGGCGGTTTGTCGCGACCATGCCCGAGCCGGCCAAGTCCGCGCCCGCCCCGAAGAAGGGCTCCAAGAAGGCGGTGACCAAGGCGCAGAAGAAGGACGGCAAGAAGCGCAAGCGCAGCCGCAAGGAGAGCTACTCGGTCTACGTGTACAAGGTGCTGAAGCAGGTGCACCCCGACACCGGCATCTCGTCCAAGGCCATGGGCATCATGAACTCCTTCGTCAACGACATCTTCGAGCGCATCGCGGGCGAGGCGTCGCGCCTGGCGCATTACAACAAGCGCTCGACCATCACGTCGCGGGAGATCCAGACGGCCGTGCGCCTGCTGCTGCCCGGCGAGCTGGCCAAGCACGCCGTGTCCGAGGGCACCAAGGCCGTCACCAAGTACACCAGCTCCAAGTAGTGTGCTTCAGCGAGTGTCAAACCCAAAGGCTCTTTTCAGAGCCACCCACTTTATCAGCTTAAGAGTTGTAATGACCTTACTAGGTACTGTGACTGTTAAATACAAAGCCAAGCTGTGTTCGTTTTGGTTATCTTTATTAAAATATTTTGCTGCCGTGTGGTGCTTGCACCTTGAAACATACAGACGTTTGGTTGAAAATAAGATGGGTATTTAACTGGGTTGGTGGTAGAATTGCTTTTTCTTGCTTCCACTGCTCACTTTGGCCATAAAGCTGGCTGAAGTACAGAGGTGCTGTATAAACCGACGTTCTGTGTCTTACACATTGTCCCATGAAAAGCAGATTACTTAAGTTTGCTAATACTTCTTGGGAAGAAAAAGGGCTTTATAATTCCAGTTCTAGTGGATGTATTTCCTTAAAGCAGCATAATTTCTAAACACAACAGGAGCTGGACAGTGAATTTGCATGAAAGTTGAAAGGAGAGTTGATGGGTTCCAGGTTAGGAGTACAGGGATTCCCTGAAATTGTTTACAGTATCTACATGTTACCCACCCCACTCACCCTTAGCAGGAAGGACTGTATATACCTGTTTTTCAACTTCTAACTGTGCTGTAATTTAGTGTCGTAGGCAGAATAATGCCACCCCAATTAATCTAACTCCTAATTTCTGGACTCCATGTTACATTCGATTATGACAAATGGCACTTAAATTGCAGCTGAAACAGGTTGCTAATCACTTGAATTTAAAATGAGATTATCCAAGTGAACCCAATATAACCACAGAGGTTCTTAACAATGAGAGGGAGTCAGAACACAGAACCAGACAGATGGCAGCATGAAGAGGACTTGGCCAGGGATCTCTGGCTTTGAAAATAGAGGAAAGGAGTCGACCTAAGGAAAGAGGAAGGCCTCCAAGAGCTGGAAAAGACAAGCAAACAGTTTCTCTTTTAGAACCCCAGAGACAGAACCCTCTGATACCTTGATTTTAGCTGGGCTACAGAAATATAACATTTTAAATGTGTATTTTGCCAAGTTTTTGATAATTCAGAGTAGCAGTTGAAAATTCATACATGTACGTATGTTTAATAATTATTGCCTAATGTTTTCAGTGATGTTTTAAAGATTAACTACATAGTTAAATTTAAATGTGTAAATATAAAAATCAATATAGATGCATGTAAATTCTAAACATTTCAGGCTTACATAATTTTGAAATTGCTCTAATTTTAACAGCAGCAATTTACGTTTTCTTTTTTGTTAATGTCTGCAATGTCTGATTACAACAGCAGAATGTCTAATGTCATGGAGAAGCACTTCCTCCACTCACTGCAGAATTATTACTACTTCTGATTATAATACTACTTCAAAAAGCTGGCCTTCATTATACGTAAAGTATAGGAATAATGATAAAATGTCCATAAAGAACTTCATGAATTAAACATCCCCCTAAATTATTTAAATTTATTATAATCCTTACATGTGTTGATTTTAGTAATATTTAGAAATATTTTCATTTTATAAGTAAAAAACAGAGGGTGTGGGAACCAAAGTTCATTTACCTGGCAGAACTCAAATTCCAACAAATGTCTTCTGATGTTATGGTCTCCCAAAGATCTCCACATAGGATTCAAAAAACACTTTTATCAAAATTTATAGATTTATTAGCACTTTAGAAAGCAACTTTACATGGATGTTTGCCTCACCCCAGCATTAGGCTACATCTGATCTTTTTATATTTCAATTCATCTTTTTCCTGTGCCGAGTCAGCCAAAAAGGAAGCTTGGCTAGGCTAGGAGGAGCCTGTAGCCTGTACTTCATTCACTCTGTGTCCAGGAATAAGTGCTTTACCTACCTGGGAGAGCTGATGGTGATAAACGCTCCTGAGTCTGTGCATTCCTTGAGTGGAAAAGAAATGTCTTATATGATTTTCAAAGTGCCTGGTGCTGACAGGAGCACCATGGACAAATTCTTTAAGATGTAAAGTAGAAATAACCTTTTAAATCAAGGGAGGCTTGGCACCTTGGTGTCAATGTCCAGTGAGTAGAACAGAAAACTATTGGTTATTTTTACAAAGATAACTTAATACCACACAGGTGTGGGAATGCTGAAAAGTAAAAGCAGAACTTGTGTTCCAGAGACTGAAGGAGGCAGGAGAAAAAGCAGGGTTCAGAGCATACACACACAAACACACATATGTTAGTTATTAAAATCTAGAAACCTGGAGGGGTGTGCTGGTGGAGACAAGGCTCAGATCTCAGAAGGGGGAGCTTATAACGCTGATGCTGGAAGTGTAGAATCCAGACTTGGGGGGAAAGGCCAAAGCTGGGAACTGGAACCACTTGTTGCAGTGGGAGGTAAGATCAGAGCTGATGCAGAAGGAAACTAGAGGTCTCTCTGTAAACTCCCATTCCAGCCTCCCTAGCTTTGCCTAGAGTTGACTGTAAATGAAGTGTGTGCACAATTCCAGCCTCTTTATTAGAGAAGATACAAAGGTCCAGGGAGTACTTGAGGCAGAGAAACAGGGCCTAGTACTGAGTACCTGGGCCTCCCTACAGATGCCTTTCTGGAAAGGACAATGGCTCAGCAAATTCAGGTGTTACATTGTGCTTAGAGGAAGAGAAATGCATTCAACTCTTCTGATGAGAATGCAAGTGGGTCTGAAAACCTTTGGGGTTATGTGTCAAGGTTTAGATAAAATGCTTACCTAGGACTCTAAAGGCCCCAGGCAAAGGGCTGGGGATAGGGAAAGTAATTAGATCCACACAAAGAAATGCGGGGCAGAAAGCCACAGGAACACCTAGAGGACGTTCCTCTTTTAGAGAGGGATTTTCAAAACTTGCTGTGACCCCTTAAGTGCTACAAGATGAACCTTAACATAGAAAAGGAACCGGTCTATTTAGAAGCTTCATAAAGCATCGCCTCCAGCCAGCACAGGCCCTGCAGAAACATTAAAAAGAAAAAAGGAAAAAAAACCTAGCAGCTCAAAGGGATGGGTGAGTGACCTCTGGGTTTCAGTTCACAGTCACTTAGTCCTGGGATCCCTGTCCGGGGCACGATTGTCAAGAGCACAAGCAGCGCTCCTACCACTCCAGAACTCGGTGAGGCCGTCCTGAGTGTTAGCATTAATGCTCATTGACCCCCAGAATGTCAGTGCACAGCTCTTTAGGTGAAAACATGAGTGGCTCTGAAAAGAGCCTTTGGGGTTAGGAGTCGGGCGCTTCCTTGCGCGTCTACTTGGAGCTGGTGTACTTGGTGACGGCCTTGGTGCCCTCGGACACGGCGTGCTTGGCCAGCTCGCCGGGCAGCAGCAGGCGCACGGCCGTCTGGATCTCCCGCGACGTGATGGTCGAGCGCTTGTTGTAATGCGCCAGGCGCGACGCCTCGCCCGCGATGCGCTCGAAGATGTCGTTGACGAAGGAGTTCATGATGCCCATGGCCTTGGACGAGATGCCGGTGTCGGGGTGCACCTGCTTCAGCACCTTGTACACGTAGACCGAGTAGCTCTCCTTGCGGCTGCGCTTGCGCTTCTTGCCGTCCTTCTTCTGCGCCTTGGTCACCGCCTTCTTGGAGCCCTTCTTCGGGGCGGGCGCGGACTTGGCCGGCTCGGGCATGGTCGCGAGAACAACAGACGTGGTCGCTAAAAGCAGAGAAATAGTAAGAGTGAGGTAGGATGTGTCGTATTTATATAAAACATCGCATGCAAATAAGGTGAAAAACTAAAATCCTGCGTCTGATTGGTGGCTATTCAGAGCAACGTCATAAAATTAGCTCTGTCCAATCAGAACGCAAGAATTCCAAATTTGCGTTTTCACTGGTTAAGATGAAGCTGAGATGTTAACCAATGACATGTCTGCATTTTCGCGCCCAAAAACGTTTATAAAAAGTGCCGCCCCTGCACTTCGCTTTAGCAGCTACTTGTAGTGAAGTTCTATAAGCTTACAATGTCTGGACGCGGGAAGCAGGGCGGCAAGGCGCGCGCCAAGGCCAAGACGCGCTCCTCGCGGGCCGGGCTGCAGTTCCCCGTGGGCCGCGTGCACCGCCTGCTGCGCAAGGGCAACTACGCGGAGCGGGTCGGGGCCGGCGCGCCCGTGTACCTGGCGGCCGTGCTGGAGTACCTGACGGCCGAGATCCTGGAGCTGGCGGGCAACGCGGCCCGCGACAACAAGAAGACGCGCATCATCCCGCGCCACCTGCAGCTGGCCATCCGCAACGACGAGGAGCTCAACAAGCTGCTGGGCAAGGTCACCATCGCGCAGGGCGGCGTCCTGCCCAACATCCAGGCCGTGCTGCTGCCCAAGAAGACCGAGAGCCACCACAAGGCCAAGGGCAAGTAAAAGCCTGCATTCGTTTGGCACAATTCGGATAACTCTAAACCAAAGGCTCTTTTCAGAGCCACCCACGTTTCCACTGAAAGGGCTTGCATTGTCTTTTAGCAGCTACTTGAAAACAGTTGCCAGTTGGTCATTTGATGTCAGTATTTGAACACCCCATAACCATCCATGGGGAAGATACAATAAAAGCAAAAGTTGTAACCAGTCAAGTAAATACTGCAGGTATTTTATGTCAGGTATTAAGGCGATCACTGCAGCAGTACCTCAGGGTTAACCAGGAGCAAAACACAGGGTAAACCTCGAGGCTTCGTCGAAGGTGGGTATTTAGATAGGAATCTAGTTACTGACCCGCAACAATAAAACAATCTTCAGTCTTGTTAAGTCGTTTTGCATCCTAATAGGACAAATCACCTGCAACACCTCCAGTTTCCGATTCGTCTGGGACTTAAGGGATGATACCTAGGGAAACAATACTTCATGCCCTGTAGTCTTGTCCACTTTTTAACTTTTATTGTTGCCACTATTGCAGATGTCCTTTCACCGCCTCCACCCAGCCCAGGCGCCCCTCATACCCTTAGGCAGAACTTATTAACTCAGGGTTAAGCTTTACTTTAAAAAGGCGCGAATTTGCATCTTTTATAGATTTGAGTATTTTTTAAACTTTACACCTAACTCAGTTCAATGTGTTAAACGTAGTGGAATGCTGTATGTGAGAATGTTAGGGAGAACTACATATGGTAATGTAGTTACAACTGTAATTAATTCAAATTAACTTGGTGCATTTAGAAAAAACACGAAAAGAGAAAACTAAAAAATCTCCAAGTTCATGGGATTGAAAAATCTCGACGTTTACTTATGAAAAAATCAATAAATTGATGTGAAAATACCCTTCCTAAACTTGGTTGAAGCTAAAAAAATATCACTTGGCCAACCACAACTAGCGCGCGCTTTTTCAAACAGGAAAAAAAGCCCATTTCAGGTGCCAAAATGTAAAATTCTTCTTAAGCAAACAACATATGTTATTGTAGTAACTTATACTGTGAGGGGAAAAGCCAAAACATTGAAGAAACGCCTTAAAGACGACTGAGGCGAAAAACGGTAGAAAAATCTCTGTTGAAAGTGTGGCTGGGAATGAAGAAGTTAATTTTCTCGTTTGAGGCCCCGGAAGTTCCAGCTAAAAGGAAGTGGCGCTGCTTGCAGTAATTTCAGTGCAAGCTTTGATGGACAGAGGTGTGGTCCAATGAGAGTGGGACAGGCATTATATATACTGGCTGAGCTTATTGGGCCTCACCCTTGTACCAAATTGCTGCTCCCTGGTCTTTGGCAATGGCTCGGACGAAGCAGACGGCGCGCAAGTCCACGGGCGGGAAGGCGCCGCGCAAGCAGCTGGCGACCAAGGCGGCCCGCAAGAGCGCGCCGGCCACGGGCGGCGTGAAGAAGCCGCACCGCTACCGGCCCGGCACGGTGGCGCTGCGCGAGATCCGCCGCTACCAGAAGTCCACGGAGCTGCTGATCCGCAAGCTGCCCTTCCAGCGCCTGGTGCGCGAGATCGCGCAGGACTTCAAGACCGACCTGCGCTTCCAGAGCTCGGCCGTCATGGCGCTGCAGGAGGCGTGCGAGGCCTACCTGGTGGGGCTCTTCGAGGACACCAACCTGTGCGCCATCCACGCCAAGCGCGTCACCATCATGCCCAAGGACATCCAGCTGGCGCGCCGCATCCGCGGGGAGAGGGCGTAAACGCTCCACTCCTTTCCGTCAAACTAAAACCCAAAGGCTCTTTTCAGAGCCACCCCAAATTTCAATTTGGGCTGTTTGCAAAAGGGTTGGGCTTAATTATTCGCAGGGATTTGGAGTTTAGGCTGCAAACAACTACAAACAAGTTGTTCAGGATGTCTGCGCCCCCTTTGAGAAACAAGTTGATTCTAACTGCAAGCACCCGTACCTCAAATGTAGTCGAAGTCCCTTAATTACTTAAAATTCTCAACTTTTGTGTCAAGGGTTAACACTTTACCAAATGCGGAAACCTGGGGGACCATCGGGCACTCCAGGAATCGGGAATAAGGTTTTGCACACAGTAAAGGGATCCCCAAACTTGGACCATTGGCAAACCCAAGATTCCGCAGTAACTTTTCTAATATACCCACAACTGGCAGTTTTTTACCCAAGTAACAATAGAATAACAAATCCATGTATTTCAACCTACTGAAATGGTTATTAGAGTTCTAGTGTTAGCAGCATTAATTCACCATTAAGTGTGATGTTAGGGTGGAATGCAGGACGTACCAAATGAAACAAACCCACCAAAACCTGTATTGGAAAGTTAAGATTTATTTCTCATTCATAGTTATAAACAGCTTTATTCCCTTAAGTGGAAGCAAGCTTGTATTTTTATTCACAAGTTATACAGGATATCACTGAATCCTACTCGTCAATAAAAAGGGTCCACTGACGTATTAACCTGGCTGAACCTGAAGGGCATAAATACTGAGTTAAACAGCGAGCGCTAGCCAACCCTAAAGCAAAGGCTCTTTACTGCGCCAAACCACCTCTTCCGGGAAATATCTGTGTACTTACTTTTATTACTACACTGAGACCTCTGCGCACCAGGTGGAAAATAGAAACAATCTCACCTCCGTAGCCTCCCACCACCATGCAGTGAAAGTGTCACAGCTCTGCCTCAGATTAGTTGGGTGGCTCTGAAAAGAGCCTTTGTATTCTCAGGTGGTTGTCGTTCTTACTTCTTTTTGGGGGCAGGTTTCTTGGCCTTGGCAGCTTTAGGCTTCGCCGCCTTGGGCTTTGGAGCTTTGGCCTTCACTGGACTTTTCGTCGCCTTCTTGGGCTTGGCTGCTTTCGGCTTTTTCGGACTCTTGGCCGCTTTCTTGGCTCCTGCCGCCGCCGCCGGCTTCTTCTTCGGGGTCTTCTTGGCGCTCTTCTTGGGGGTGGCGGCCCCCGCAGCCTTCTTGGCCTTCTTGGCGGCGCCCGCGGGCTTCCTGGGCTTGGCCGCGCCCGCCTTCTTGGCCTTGGGCTTGGCGTCGCCGGAGGCCGCCTTCTTGTTGAGCTTGAAGGAGCCCGAGGCGCCGGTGCCCTTGGTCTGCACCAGGGTGCCCTTGCTCACCAGGCTCCTGAGGCCCAGCTTGATGCGGCTGTTGTTCTTCTCCACGTCGTAGCCCGCGGCCGCCAGCGCCTTCTTGAGCGCGGCCAGCGACACGCCGCTGCGCTCCTTGGACGCGGCCACGGCCTTGGTGATGAGCTCGGACACCGGCGGCCCGGACGCCTTGCGCTTGGCGGCCCCGCCGGACTTGCGGGCCTTCTTCTTGGCGGGCGCCTTCTCGGCAGCGGGCGCAGGGGGCGCCGCAGGGGCGGTCTCGGACATGGTCGTCGGTCGGGATTCCCAGCAGTAAAAAAACAGAAAGTCTCCGGGTGCGGCGGGGCTCGGGCGCGTGTCTATATAAACACACGGCGGCGCTGCGCGCTGATTGGCTCCCGGCTCCCTCTTCCGGCCTCGCAGCAGCGCAGCCTCAGCTCTGTCCCCGAACTGTGTTTGTTTCAATTCAGGAAAACGAAAAAATTAAAATTTCTTGTGGAGCAATCACACCAATTCTACCCTACATTGCACCGGGACAGCTCAAGCTTTGAGATCGTCATAATTTTTGCTTCCGATTAGCGTCACTTCGGTCTCAGCCTTTGTCAAAAGCCCCCGACACTCTGAGAGATCTGCAGGTCAGAGAGTCAACTTGTTGATTTTCGTTTAAAATATAAGTTTTCCCCTTTGTATCTTCAATATCTTGCTCTCCAGTAATGTTCTATACCTTCTTGGCTTCTCATACATTTCAACAACTGTTGTGTTCTCATTGAGATTTACCCTGAAAATCTCTTTCACATGAGGAGAAATAACACAGGCTCTTTCAGGATTTTCCTGCAACAACGGTAGTCAAGGATGCTTGGAATAACAGCATTTTCTGATAATAAAAGGCTTTATTTTGTCTGTAAAAGCTTTATCATAGCCTTTTGTGACTGTTGGGAAGGTTATGTAATTTTTGGCTCTGAGGAGTCAATATTTATTTAGGAAAATAGGGAATGTAGTATTCAGTGATTGTCCTGTCATGGTAGTTGGGCCTGTTGCCCTAGCTGATAGCAGAGTAGATTTGGGTAAAGGCATAAAAGGGAGTTGGCTCCTTTTATGGGTTAAAAAAAACTTATGTTTTTAAAATGTTCATGAGCTTTTGGGTATAGAGGTCTGTCATGCTTGGGTAAGATAAATTTGGCAAAGAAATCAAGTAACAGCAGGATTAAGGAATATACATAGCTCAGCACACACACACTTATATAGAATTCCTTTAGGAGAGGGAAATTTAAAAGCAAGCATGTTTTAGATTTACTACTAAAATTCTTATTTAAGAAAGGATATTTGTTTATAGGGAACACATTAAAGCTTATGCTGTATTTCCAGTAAGAAATTGATGGCAGAGTTGTTAGATAGGACAAGGGTCACAAGGTTTGGGCAGTTCTTACTAAATGCTATTTTTGCTAAATGCTGAAATGTAACAGTATTTTGCAGACACAGATATAACCAGATGAGCTTGACTGAATAAAATCCTGGCCAGAACCAAATCCGGTAAAGAACTACAAAGGAGAAAATCCAGTCTCCTTTACTTGCTGCAAATAATTAAAAGCACCTATAAACGACCGTGTCTTTAATGAAAAGCAGCACCCTAAGCAGCGAACTCCTTGAGTCTGGTAACAGTGATTTGATTTTCTTTTTCACTCCTCAGGCTATATGCTTGTCCTTAATAAGCACGTCTGTTTCACTAGGACTACGGAAGGAAGAAACACTAGGACCCGACAGAGCAAAGCACAAGAAGTTAAGCTTTCTCCTTGATCCCATCGATGTTTCTCCCACATCTATGTTTCTCTCTCCCTCTCTCTAAGATAATTATGCTCAAGTTTTGCTTAATAAAAAACAAGAAACCATGCTTAATAAACACGCACACACATATCCTCAGGTGATGACTTAAAAAATGCTTGTAAATCAATAAATTAAAAATTTTAAAAATCTTTAAAAAAATAGACATAGGATTACAAAGAAAAACTATTATATTAAAATACTTTTATTAAACTCATCAAAAATCCAAATTGGTGAAATATAAACATATGTGCTTCCTTATCAATATGTTAAACAAGATTACTCAATGAGCAAGAATTACAGTTTAATGGAGTAATATATTTCAATATTTTGAAATATTGACAGCTGCAAATGCATTGTGGTATGAGTACAGCACAGGTCCAGCCAGTTACACTGTTTGTTGCCTGCATTCATAAACAGGGGAAATGCTAACATCTAGTTGGGGGATAGTAAGAATAAAGATGAAGTTTTTGTTGTGTATACACAGGCTCCCAGATGCTCTGAGTCCTGTCTGTGTATCCCAGGTTAAGAACACTCTGGAATTTGTTTCCATACACTGTAAACTCAGGGAGCAGCTTTGATGAACTTGGTCCTCCTTATAGACCGTGGAGGAAAAGCCAAGTCTACCCAAAGTCATCTGGAAATCCTCAAGGGAATAAATGAGTTAAATATGTAAGTATTTATTATTTTGTTCTCAAGTGCATGGTTTGGGAACAGCACTCCCTTAAATGTGCCCCCTTGGCATATAATTTGGAGCTGAAATCAATTAAAGCCCACCAAACTCAAGAAGAGTATCTCTTTCCTTTTTAATGAAATTGAGATAGACCTGCTTTAGGAAGGGAACTTGAGCATAATTATCTTAGAATATACACTTTAGCATATATTTATTAAGTATTTTGGACATACTTAATTTATACTTAGAATTAAATGTTTTGTCCATGCAAAAATATGTTTACTAGATTTCCCTCTGTCCTGTACTTTCTGAGTTGTGTTGCAATTTTTTTTGCAGCTTTCTTTACCTGAATTGTGTTTCCCGTTTCAAATCCCAACCCCCTTTCTCCCTTTCCTCCTTTGTTCAGAATAACAAGATATCCCTCATTCTGCCCGTCTTTGGAATTTTCATGCTTCTGTGAATTCCCCGTATGCACATATTAAGCCTACCTTTTCTCCTTAATCTGTCATCGTTAATTTATTAGCCCACCTAGAACTTGGAAGATAAGAGGAAAATTATTTTTTCATAGCCCTACAGAAGGTTTTAGCAAATCAGGACACTCTCTTAGGCTCATCTTTTTAGAAGGATGCATATTGAGGAGAGGAATAATTAATGTGGAGTGGCTGTTTTTTATAAATGTTAAACAATTTGCATAGATTAGCTCTTATATGTGTCTTTATAAGGAACAACATGCATTAACTCATATTTTGGGAAACCTGAAGCGTTAGTCTTCCTTGTGGAAAGTGTATGAAATGTTCCATTTAATGCCTCCAAGTATTGCACACACACACATATCCACATAGAGAAGCGTTCACTAACCCCCACCTCCAGTGCTCAGTGTTCCTCGGGCGCAACACCGGTTCTCAACACCTCTGAGCCCGGACGAACGAGCTAAGGGCGGGGACTGGGTTGGTTCCCGCCCCTGCCGCCTCTGTTTCCAATTAGGTCCGTCAGATTCGTATAAAGGTGCTGCGCTGGGCGCTACTCAGCATTGCGTTGCTGGCTCAGCAGCTGTGTTGTCGCTATGTCTGGACGTGGCAAAGGCGGGAAGGGCCTCGGGAAGGGCGGCGCCAAGCGCCACCGCAAGGTGCTGCGCGACAACATCCAGGGCATCACCAAGCCCGCCATCCGGCGCCTGGCGCGGCGCGGCGGCGTCAAGCGCATCTCCGGGCTCATCTACGAGGAGACCCGCGGGGTGCTCAAGGTGTTCCTGGAGAACGTGATCCGCGACGCCGTCACCTACACGGAGCACGCCAAGCGCAAGACGGTCACGGCCATGGACGTGGTCTACGCGCTCAAGCGCCAGGGCCGCACCCTCTACGGCTTCGGCGGCTGAGCCCCCGCGTCCACCAGCCAAACATTTTCACCACCAAAGGCCCTTTTCAGGGCCGCCCACTNATGTCTGGTCGCGGCAAAGGCGGGAAGGGCCTCGGGAAGGGCGGCGCCAAGCGCCACCGCAAGGTGCTGCGCGACAACATCCAGGGCATCACCAAGCCCGCCATCCGGCGCCTGGCGCGGCGCGGCGGCGTCAAGCGCATCTCCGGGCTCATCTACGAGGAGACCCGCGGGGTGCTCAAGGTGTTCCTGGAGAACGTGATCCGCGACGCCGTCACCTACACGGAGCACGCCAAGCGCAAGACGGTCACGGCCATGGACGTGGTCTACGCGCTCAAGCGCCAGGGCCGCACCCTCTACGGCTTCGGCGGCTAAAAGTCGACTGACAACGTCCTTTCAACAGCAAACCCAAAGGCCCTTTTTAGGGCCACCTATCTACTCACCTAAAAGAGCTGTCACTTTAGTTTTAAATATCAGCCACTGGGGATGGCACTGTTGTGGTTTAAAGGTTGTTTTAAAGTGGTTTTAAAAGAGCCGGTGGGGTCAATTTAGTTCGTATTTGCTATACTCAAAGCATTACAAGTCCTTTGACAGTATTGAGATCTCAGACTTTATTCCCAGTGAGATATTTCCTGACGACAGAAATGGGTATGCAGCTACAAGTGTTATTTCCAGGTCTGGGATTTTGAATTTCCCTTCTTCCCAGTTAGGGAGGTGTTGAACTTTGATCTTTGACCAGGTGGAGATTAACACCCCCCCCCCC